GTTTTGATCCCTCGAGTGGTAGCATGGGACCAAACATGTGTTATGCACGCCGTTTGCATGTCACCATGTCTTCAGAATCAATCACTGAAAAATAAATGAGAAACCCTGACGTTTGGCGTTGCATTTTTCATGGGCCTCGCAACGTCGGCCCCCCAGCTACGGGGAGTATGCTACCTTATCTGTACTTTTCACACGATGTTGGATCAGACGTGTTCGATTTGACTGCTGATGCCAGTTTCTTTCGAAATGCCTCTGAAAATCTCAGAATTTCTATTTAAAGTAGCCGCCCCTGCAGGAGCGATCATGCGTTGGATTCTATGCACCCATCACGATGAGAGCTGTGTATTTCATTTGCACCGTTTTTCCAAGCGGTGTGTTTTGTAATGTTTGCAACACATGAATATGTCAACACGTTTGTGTAGCAAATGCTACGAAAGCTCGAAACACTCTTTTTAGGGAATTATATCCAAACACCAGGCCATTATGCTGCGAATTCAACGAGGCGTTATACTATAGCTTTGATTTACACCTGCGGCCTTTACCAAAGTGGCTCTTTGCGAAGCGCACGCTGGCTTTGGAAAACGGAGGATAATATGATCTATAGTGACGCGCGGGTTTAAACTTCAACCAAATCGGTTCATGGTAACCGGCCTTTCCACCCGCTGTGCCAGTCACGAACGTTTATTTGTACTGGCGTCATTCACACCAGTGGAGGTGCATCTTTTAAAGGGAGTACCCCACTTTTGATACATGTTTCAAAAGCATTCTCTAGTGAAACGTCAGCACTAGTTATGCCAATAACGGCACTGGGGAGTGCCTTAGGACAAAATAAGGAAAGAAATTTAAATTATTTTCGAGTCTAACCTACGCTGTCAACAATTTGCAACAGCAGTACACTTCCTCCTTGCAGTCCTACCCAATGTCGTCATGACAACGGCCATGCGCATCTCTCCTAGTGCGAATACAAGAACGTTTGTGATTGGCTGTTTGTCGAGACGTTGAAGAAATGAAGTTTAAACCAGCGCGTGATACAAATCATCTGATACCCCGATTCCCAAAGCCAAAGTTTACTTTGAAAAGAGCCACTATGCTAAAAGCAAATAGGAAGAAATCAAAACCATAACATGACATTTCGTTCAAGTCACAGGATTGTTACCCGGGTATTGCAGTTATATCCCTGTTTCCTTCAACTTAATTTTTGACGCTCGCGTTACTAGGAGTACTTGCTCCTCATTATTTCCAGCAATATTATCATGCTCACCCGACGGCTTTCTCAACGACACCAAACAGCAATCACGAGATTTCCAAAGCCCAGGCTGCTTAAAAGCAAAACGCCTGGACTGACTCAATGATTTAGATGAAGTTCATGTATGGTTTTTCAGGTTACATGCACGCACATGACGCTGTGTGATGCATTATATTTGATTAGATTGACTATGCATGCCATTGCTAAGAAAGACTGTTGGCTAATTGGCCCACTGCATTATCGACAGGTAATTATTATCGAGGCACTTCCCTATAATAAACCTGGCTAACAGGGGCGGCTGCAAATGGTGGCGAAAGCATTGGCGCACCGACATTACATGGGCTTTTACGAAACAGGTGCTTTCGTCCTAACATGGGCAGCAAACGTCACTTTCCTGGGGTTTCGCAACCAGCTTCATGCATTCACGCCGTCTTACGCATGATTGTCACCGGCCACATTACAGAGACGCCTATAAAATGGTCGCTACACACAGTCTGCAGGCTACGTGCAATGATCAGATCACCCCAGTCATGAGCGGAACCATACAGCCACCACGCACGTATGCCTCAGAATTTAGTCCCCATTAGTAGCCGCCTGGTGCAAGGCTCACTGCGGCGTCACCATGCAGCGTCCACCCTCTATTGTTACTGAATAATGCCGGAATCCCTCGTCGGCACGCCGGAATCCCTCGTCGGCTCATAATTTGTTGCCGGAATCACACATCGACAACCTGGAATACCTCATCGGCTCATATGTGCGGACCTCGCCTTCCGGAGTCACTGTATGATTTTAACAACGGCAGCCTCAGTAACCGAATTCACTGCCGCTGCTAAGGGTCAGTTACTCTTGATCATTTAGCAAAACTTCCTTCTGTGGCCGCATGTTAATCCACCAACGGAAAAAAAACAATCAGTTTTTTCGACAGCCTACCGCCCTTTTCCAACTTCCACCTTCCGGGAATCGCAAGGAGGGAAAAGTCTCACGTTCTGCGAGTCGCAAATCCATCAATGGCACCTTACACGTGCCGCCACTACCCTCACTAGCGGCCAGCAACGTGCAAAAAGATGCGTCCCACCTATCGTGAGTCGCGGAGAGATCGACCGAGAACCAACTGCCTAATTTCTGTG